TATATATATATATATATATATATATATATATATAAGGTGTTTTAAACTCTTCCCACACTCTTGCAATATTCTAAACAATGTTTCTAAACTAAAAGAGCACAGCATGTCATGAACTCAGCTCTCTGCCATGGCTGCACTCTGCGCTCGCAGCCACGCCCACTTCTCCGCTGCAGAATGGAGATTGACAGGAGGGAGGAGGAATGTGGGCTGCACAGATACAGCAGGTGCTAAATAATTTAAAATAATTAATTTTAAATAAAATTTCCATTCTGATCGTGCGGCTCATCCATCAGTCAGCCAAGTGTGTGTCATGTCCATTCTTATTTTGAAAAACCGCAATAGAGCGAGTCTGCGAAAAACGAACCGCGAAGTAGCGAGGGACTACTAGACATACAAATGTTGTGGTTTGCAGTGCAAGTGTATTTATTGAAGCATATTTTTGTTTGTTGTTCCTTGCAGTAATAGACTGTCTTAAAGGTTTGACTCAGATTGTTTGAAGTGGGGTTTTGTAAAAAGTTTATGAATTATTCTTAGTTGTTCTAGATAACTATTTTCCAGCCTTTGTTTGGAAAATTTGTTTAATTCAGACCGGAATGATGAGCAACTTTGAACTGAGTCAAGACCACGACAAATAGCAGCAGCAGCTTCTAAATGGGCTTGCCAGTGACAATTCAATTTTATATTTTGACAACTTGAATTGAACCATGAACTGGATTCAGTCGCCACAATTTCATAGTGGAACTGGCAAATGCTATTTTATTATCTTTTATGTTGCAGTTACTTTTGCATTATCCTGTTAATTCTAGCAGAAATGCTTTTGATTTCTGCTGGAAGTGCCCCAGGCTGCACTAAGGGTACATTCACACTTGCCCTGTTTAGTCCGCTTTAATCGAACTCTAGCTCGTTTTCCTAGAAAGTCTGGTTCGTTTAGGGAGGTGTGAACGCACCATCGAACTCTGTCACGGAACAAAAAGACGAACTCTGGCCCGGGCTAAAACCTAGGTCTCGGTCCGGTAGGAGCGAACTCCAGCGCGGTTCGAGTACAGTGTGAATGTAAACAGACCGAACCCCGCTCCGCAGGCTAAACAAACACGCATTGCTCTGACCTTAAATGGAGCCGTCAGCTGCCTTGTGTGAAAAACAATATTCTCCATGGTCTTCTGTCTCAT